CAGTGATTCTTGCTTCTTAGTAGATATGTACTGCTTTGTTCTTTTGATGATAATTTAAATATACTATTATATTTATAGTATTATATAATATGCCCTATTATCCCCACCAGCTGGTTGAAAATAGCTGGGAGAACACGTATAAAGTGCAGTGTGACTGTAATATCCCCTAATGAAGGACTGCACAGAAGCTGTTGAGATTGCCACACCACTGATACTTTGGACAGTTGGCAGACACATACTGTAGACCCCTGCTTCACCTTTTACAGTTTTTAAAACTGCAGAGAATGGTGGTTTTGTTTTTCAGTTATTGCAACTCAGAGCTACCTCATTCTGTGTTGAGGTTTGTCAGTTGCAAAGATAAGCCGAAGACCATCAGGAAGACAGCTGAACAGCATCTGCCATTTTAAAATGATTTTTTTTCTTTGATTAGCCCTTTTCCCACTCTAATGCCACATGAGCTACAGAGAAGCAGCAGGAGAAGTCAAAAACGTTGTTGCATCATTTTGTTTCCGTAAGTGCTGTCTGCAGTATTCTGAGGGAAATCTCTCTCTCTTCAAGGAAATTAAACTCAGGATGTATATTTATGTTCTTTACAGTCCCACAGTGATTAGCCTCTGCCTTCTGGTTTGAAAGGATCGTAACCTCTCAAATTCCTCTTTATCTTAGAGAACAGTACCCCCCCCCTTAATCTGCTCCTGAGGACTGGGGGAGACCTTCCGGAACTGTACAGGAGATGCAAGGGGGTGTATGTGGACAAGGAAGGTAAAATCTTGTTGTATGGATCAACATCAAATTGTTTTTATTACCTAAACCTTAGTGAGACTACCCTTAAAAGAGTGTATTGGAATACACCAGCAGATTATCAAATAATTTGAAAGAGATGAGCAAGGCTTTACACTTCCAGTTTAACAACAAGAATAACAGTTCTTCCTCAAATTAAGATCAGATTAGATGTGATACTAAATGCCACTGTCTCTTATCTCACTACCGTCCTCTCACACATACCTTTTAAATCACAGCTGAGGGGAGTCAGCTTGGAATGGGGTTGTGGTATAGGGACACTACAGGGGACCTTCTCTTGCTCCTGGTGCCTCCCCCACCCCCAAGCAAATGGGACCATGAGGGTCAAACAGTTAATTCAGGGAGGCTATTCAGTGGGTTAATGGTCTGAGGCAAATGGTTTGAAAAACCCTTCTACTGCCCCATTCAGAAGTGTTGTTAAGAGTTCTGTTTTCTGGAGGGGTAAAGATGCACTGTGATGTGTTATACTTTTGACATTTAGTATATACATTAAAATAATAATTTTAGGACTGGAGAGCAAGTATCCACCTTGCTGCTTTCTAAGGACACTCATGGCATGGATACAATACAGATCAGGGACTCCAGAATGGCTGCTTAAAGTACAGTGGTACCTCAATTTACGAACTTAATCCGTATTGGAACAGCGTTCATACATCAAAAAATTTGTAAGTCAAGGCAAACTTTTCCATAGGAATGCATTGAAAACCATTTATTCTGTACCTGCTGTTTTTCGTTCATATGTCGAGGCGATGTTCGTAGGTAGAGGTATTAGTTCCCACAGGAACTAATGGAAAGCCAGTTAATCCGTACTCTACCACTAGGGGGATAATTTTTTTTATTTTTTTCTTCTTTTGACCTAAGATGAACTGAGGTTAAAAAAAAAGGGCAGGAAAGTTTTTTTCGGGAGGGGGGCTGACTAAGATGAACTGAGGTTAAAAAAAAAGGGGCAGGAAAGTTTTTTTCGGGAGGGGGGGTGGTTCGCAAGTCAAGGCTACGTTCGCAAGTCAAAGCAACATTTTGCGAATGGAGCCATTTGTAACTCGAAACGTTCCCAAGTGGACACGTTCGTAAGTCGAGGTACCACTGTACAGAGAGGGAATAGACAATGTATGGCATGCTTAATGTTAGGTGTAGTTTTGCTCTGTCATTTAAAATCTAAGCAGTCTACAGTAACTCAGATATAGAGTATGCATCACATTCAGAGCTTAGAAAAGTTACTTTTTCCCCACTGAAATTCTCAGAATCCCTCAGATGGGGAGGTCATCCTCAGAGTTACAATTTTAAAAAGTAATTTTTCCAAACGTTGAGTTTACCCCAGTTCATGTTTCTTGAGGTACATTAGCTGGCTCTCATGCAGTCTCATAAAAGAAGTTAAATGTCTGGTTAACAGTATTTTCCATCTGACTCCACCTGTTTCCTTCAACTGTATTCCATTTATTCCAGGTATTATTTGCCTTTCACTTGGATAAGCAAGCAGATGGTTAAAAGCTATTTTTCTGATTTTCCCAGAATATATATAACAAAACAACATGTTAAATACTGCACTTTACCCCAGTGAGAATTTGAGGCATAGCTCTGCATATTTCTACATTGTGTATTTCAGCTTATGGAAGATTTGAAATGTTTGTTTTGACATGGAGTCATTAATCTTATGCAATGTTTGTTATGAGGATCACATACTGGAAACACGCTTTGGAAAATTCATTCTCAAATTTGAGCTCTTCCACATTTATCTGGTGTCTATGCACATAATGCAATACAAGACCAGAACAATGTAGAGTCTCTGCTGGTCCCAGGGACTTCATCTTCCCTTTCTGGAAGGAAAAGCCTGAAAAACAAGGCAAAAATGCTTGCGCATGGAAGCTAAGTGGCAAGAAAGCAGTTTGTGATATTGCATAATGTCATTGCTGAGCAAGGGCCATGTCTTCTAATGCATTGTCTGTAGCTTCCAGTTCCCCAGCTTCGTGGATCTTGTGGTAACACAAGATAGCTTTAACTAATATTGTACATTTGCAGGGTTTTGACAATTGATTAATGGGTTGCAGAGAGGGAACTTAAGCAAGATGCTCCATAAAAGAATCATGTTTGAAAAGAAGGGACATTCCTTTATTTAAGAATACTCCTTAAAATAAGCAATATCTGGCAAACTAAAGGCCTTTTGCAACACCACAAAGGAATGTACATTGCTTCACATCTCTGTCCAAGTGAGCTCTTTGCCCAGATTTTAGTCTTTCTTATAGTTGAGTGGAAGGGTGTAAATATGAACTTAACAGGAAGTGAGTCAACAGTAAGCCATATTGTCTCCACTAATTTCTGAGTGGAAATAGGTGAGCTGAAAAACATTACAGCTTTTTACAGTTGAGTTCACACGGTCACTTTAGATCACATTTTCTTCATGGTGATTATGGCCGGAAAAGAGGACCACATGGAGAAAACATTATTTGAATTTTAAAAAATAGATATTACTAAAGCAGTTCCAAGCCACTCCTCTCCAAAGTACTAATGTAACTGATGTAATCAAGCAGAGATGGGTTTATATACTGCCATTTCATCTTTGTTGTGGTTGGGCATGTATGTGCCCATTAGTGGGGAAATCAGCAGAAGAAATGATGGTGTGTGAACCACTTCAACACTGTGCACAAATAGGAGAATTGGTAAGGATACTGGATGGGACTCTAGAGCTCATCCTTCACTCCTGCCTGGCTTGGAAACCCCTTAGCATCAGCAGCTCCCTCCCTTGGTCTTGGTCTCAGAAGCATAAATAGTTGTTATTGCACCTGGAGCAAGAAGCACCACCCTACCCACTCTGCCCCAAGGCGTGGGCATCAATTCCCACAAGAAAAAGTCAGTTTGAAATATAAGAGGAGAATATGATTTGCAGTACAAAGGAAATATAAGCCAGTGTGATGAGTAACAAACTAGGACTCAGGAGACCTCAGTTCAAATCTCTGGTCAGCCATGGAAAGTCAATGGCAGGTGGCAATAGTAAATATCTTATATACAGTACTTGGAAAAGCCTTTTAGGGTTGCTGGAAGTCAGATGGGCTTTCAGGGCATACAACAGCAACAACAACAGAGGAAAAAAACTGACTGAACAAGGAAAGATAATGTGAGGAGAAAATACATCAGCACTGGACTTATCCAGATATTCGTAAACCATGTTTTAGCACTGGACCATACTCTATTTTTGTTCAGTAACTGCAGTTTTTAATTTAAATTTTAAGGATCTATGTTTCTAGCTCTTACGGATGCATAAGAAACCTTGAAACAGCAAAGCAGTAGGTGATAAAAATGATTTATGATTCTCACACAATAATTTGCAAGACCACTTTGCAGAAAAATTATGGTTTTTCACATTTGGAGATCATTCCAGGCATATACTGCAAGGGCCACTTGACCATCAATGATGCATTTTGATACCACCACATTGTCACCAGTTCTCTGGTTCATGAGATATTTCTAAACTTAACCACATTTTTGACCAAGAATCCAAGGATGTATAACACTTATGCTAGCTGCTGCTTCTTTTCTGCCCATTAGAGCTAGAGATATGAATGGAAAGTTCAAATTTTCTTGGTTTCATATTGCATCTGTTTATATAAGAAGCCCTTGACATTGTGACCCAGAAGAATACTTTGAGTTGAAAAACTGACAGTACCATGTTGTTTTTACCAGAGTTATGATTACTGTTGATTTACCATTTAGCACTTTTGTTGGGGAAAATATTAACATTCTGTAAAAACCATAATAAGTTTAACAGTTGAATAAATACACTATTTTTCTTTTCTTTTACATAAATAACCCAAAAATAAGCCCTAGTTAAGTGAAAGTCTGCCCTCCACCATCGTGAAGCAACCAGAAGATGACACGACTGTATTTGAATAAATGTACGTAGATTGTTGTACATGAAAAAAATAAAACATCCCCTGAAAATAAGACCTACTGTGTTTTCTGGAGCAAAAATTAATATAAGACCCTGTCTTATTTTCGGGGAAACATGGTACATATATATA